CCAGCACATGCTAGTCCTGTGGTTCTATCAAGTTAAAGAATCACAAATAATTTGTGTTTCTTTAAAGTAATTACATGTATTATTTTTTAAACCAATTAGCATGCATATTTTTTTTGGGCTATTTCCTAATTAAATGTTAGAATCATTTTGAAGAAGAGAATGTTTGACTTAGCTAGGAAAATAGAAACGGATGATTCAGTATATATCTGAGAGACATCTAAGGGCTGAATTACCCCTTGGGTTTAGTAACTATATTGCTTTTGTATTTCAGCATTCACAGAGCAAAATTAATTTTCACTTTATACATTTTTCAAAAAAATATATAGAGGACGTTACACAGTGGTGAGAAGATACGAATTTCATGTTCGAGTGGCAATAACTATATCTTACGAGTGAGCGCAGCCAACAAGTGAGATATTGTTCTTGCCATGAGAAAATAAAATTTATATCTTCCAGCTAACGTGTAATGTTCTTGTTTATTGTATAGATATGCTGATGATTTTCCAAAGTTTTCCGACCACTTTCCCAAGATTTCCGAAGATTTTCCAAAATTGTTCCTAAGGCCAGATAAACATTTCTGAGCATTTTCCGAACATTTCTGAACATTTACAGAAGATTACTGAAGATTGCTGAACATTGCCGAAGATTGCCGAAGATTGCCGAAGATGACCAAAGAAGATCTGAAGATGTTTCGATCATACACCAACAAATTTAAGTGCAGTTAAAAGGACAAAAGAGAAATGTTATCAAACATGATACCTTCGCATGTGAGGATATCATATCTTCACATGTGAGGATATCATATCGTTTTTTACCAATTTGTTACCACTCAGTATACCACTGACTTTTATATTATACTAATATGGCATAGAATGCATGTTCTAATTTCAGCGCCAATTTTCAAGAGTTATTACGGCTAACAATTTGCCTGACCAACTAGTAATTTAACAAACAATTTATTTCAGAATTTAGTAAACATGTAAATTAATTACCCCCAAAATTAATATTATTGCAATTTGTTTGGTTAGCTCCACCACTTTCATTTACAATACATAAGCAAATATCAGGGTATGCTTTTAGGACTCAATAAACAAACTTTAGACCAACCAAACTTGAGAAGTTAGTTGAACTTTTTACATCTTCTGATTTATACATCCAGTTCCTACATTTACTGACATGGAGAACACAATAGTAATAAGCTGCATGTATGTAAACTATAACTTGCATGTATGGGTGTATGTAAACATGTAGGTCACTGATCAAGCCTTGATGTCACAGTGCGTAATTAGTTATTTTAGATCGACCGCGCACGGAAATTAGACAATGGCGATTAGTGTTATTGAAATTACATGTGAACTTAAGTGTATGTGCTAATCGTTATGATAGTCAAAACTCGAATATTGTATCTCTCGAATATCATGCAATTCACACACTGTTCAAATAGCGAGTTTTCAAAAACAACAAGCTTTACAAATTTTGCGAGGTATCAATTACCGGCAGTGGCTTGTGTATCATCGAAGCCATCATCTTCTTCACCAGCTATTGGTTCTTCTTCCACCACTTCTTGCTCTTCTCCGCCGTTTTGATCTTTCTCCTTCATAGAGGAAGAAAGCTGGAAACATTATAATGCCGTGTTAAGTCAACTAGCCACAAAGCTGGCTCAAAGTCATACCCGAGGGACAGTTTAAGCTGAAAAGCTTCTAAACAATAACTTTCTTTGACGCGAGAGTCTCAAAGGATTTCCACATTTTAAAACACGGTTCCGGTCATCTTACCTGTGTTTCGCTCATTGTATCAGCATTAAGGGAATCACCACTTCGTTCTGAAAACTAAAAAGAAGTTTGGAATATTGTGGGACTATTCATAACATGCAGCAATTAAAAGTTGACGAAGGATCTCACACCGTTTCCATGGTAATGAGATAGACATTTCAATGAGCATTGTATTATTATTAGACAAATATTTTTGATAAGTGCTGACTTTACTCAATGCCTAATTAGGTATCTTCCACAGACAAATTTTTCTCATTTATGATCGGTATTGCAAAATTTATTGAGAACAAAAAAAGAAGAAAAAAAGAAAAGGAAAAAAAAAAAGTCAACAGAGGCGGACGTTCGGGCATATTGTTTCTGCGCTTTTACTGCGCACGCAAATTCACACGCCACGTCATGCATGAGCGCGCGCGCCAAACAATAGGGCAGACGGCCATTGCTACAGCTTTGCCTGGATTTAACGATCTTGGACGGTCGATGACCCCTATTGTTCTTTTCAGAAACAGATCTTATTTACAATTATCTCCCCATTGTCCAAAAATGAACAAAAAATCAAAGTGGGAAGTCAAAAAAAATTTCAAGATTTCTGTCCACAGGACATCGAATCCTGCCATCTTTCGGCTACAAGGCGCATGAAACTATGGTCGCTAAATGCCAACTTGTTCTTGAAGGAACCTCACCAGTTGACCAAATTAACTTAATAGGTCCACTTAAACAATGTTTGGCAGAGAACATTTTTTAAGATAAAACGAGCATTCATTTCTCTGTCGAGCTTAGCTTGAGGGAAATCTCTTACGTTGTGTAAGTGCACACGCTGATTTGCACGCGCTAATGACGCGGAAATCGTGCGCAGTAGGGATGCGCAAAACAATACTGAGGAATCATCCTATCCTAATTCCAAATTGAACTCGAAACCGTATGATTACCTATACAAAGTTGATATTTTGATATTATTAGAGCTAGGTTCTTTCACTTAATGCAGCGGCGAGGTAAAGTAGTTGATATTGTTTTCGTCAGTCCTTGATTTTCCCTATATTTATCGGGGGAGGGGGTACCGTGCAAGAAGAACCCTTCCTTACGGTACATATGCTTTAGCGCGACTTCAAAGGCTAAACCAGATTTGTGCAGAGCCTCTTTTTCCGTCCTCTATCCGCTCAAAAAAGATGTAAAAGAGGCTCTGCTCGCGGGGTGGAGGGCACTCTCATATGGAAAGGACGGGGCTTCTCGTCGGAAATTTTGAAAACAATCCCCAAGAGGTATTTTATTTTGAGATCCTTAACATTTTAAAAACATGCATTTTATAAACTTGACGTTTCGTATGCTAGTCAACATACATTTTCAAAAGTATAATCGTTAAAATTTTTTGTGAAGCTATTTATACTATATTAATGGGGGTCTGGAACTTTGACAGAAAACATCTGCTGTAGAAATTTAAGACGTTTCAAACTTCTACTTCCTAATAAAGTAAAAGCTTTTCACTGCTGAAATTGACATTTAATGCTGGCTGCAACTCCTGAATAAACAATACAAATACAATACAAATTTGTCTAGACAAGCTGAACGCCCTTCCTGATTCCCCAACAATACCTCGTCCTGTTTAAAAGAAATTGTTAGAGTTTGCCACAAAGAAAAGTCACTTTATCTTGGATGGTCAGTATTAGTCATTGTTACGACCAGATTGATGGTGTTGCCATGGGCTCACCTTTAGGCCCCGTTTTGGCTAACATCTTCATGCGTGAGTTTGAAGAAAAATCGATAATTAACAGTCCCAGATTTCACCCTACTCTTTGGTATAGATATGTCGATGACACTTTTTCCATGTTAGACAGCAAAGACACTGCTAATGAGTTTTTGGAGTACCTCAACAGCCGTCATAATAGCATCAAATTCACCATTGAATTTAAAAAAGCCAAAGAGATGCCGTTTTTGGACATTCTAGTTAAACTAGTCAATGAAAATCATGCTATGATATAAACGATTGTTTAGCACACGCACTTGATATAGATATTCTTTTGGTCGTTTGCGGGGTAACAAGGATCAGTATTGCGGATTATTTTTGTGTGAAACTTTAGTTCGATAGTTGAACTTTAAGAAAAGTCCGGCGGGCCCAGGCAGGCCCCGCCGTTTTGAAGTTGGGTTTTTTTTCCGGCCTTGATTTGTCAGATGTTCGCTGCATTTCGCGCGAATTGATGGTGAGATTTCTACTCTTGTTTTATCACGATAAGCGTATAACTTTGTAGCTCGGCTTGTTCCCTTTATATCTTCGTGTTTTCTTGTTAATTTGTTTTTGTAGCGCGAATGTCATCCGGTTGTTTGGCCGATGGTCAAGATTTTTGGATCCTGCTTTGGATGCTTGTCCATTAAAGATATATTATCTCATTTACATTGATCACTGCCTGTCTTGAATTGTTATCTCAAACAGAAATTTACTATTCTTGGATGTTATTGTTCAGTCATCTATGGCTGATTTTGAATGTGCATAATTCGTCTAAACACCGGAATTTATACCTAGACGATATATTCGTCTCAGACGGATAAATCGTCTACTAATGTCGGACAATTTTTCGGCTCTTGGCAAATTCGGCCAATCACCTCTCCCCCAAAAAGTTCAGGATGGCGTCCTTTAGAAAACTAAAGTTAAAGATTCAAAATTGACTTCACTCATTTGACAACTGAAAAGCACTTCTTTATTGCGTTTTTCATTGCGTAATTTTTGTGTAATTCTTTTTTTGGTTTCCACCATTACACAGTGACTGCAAATGGCATGTCAGAGTTGTGTGATAAACCACAACTGCCAAATATGTAAGTTTTATACAAAACTACACAAAAAATTATTACAGGAAAATGAACGGAATTGAAGCTAATTGAAGGTTGATATGAATTTTTATATAGCTAGATTTGATTTGGACAATTTTTAAAGGCAATATTATGACATATTTAATCCAATTTATTACAAAGATAATTAATCTGACTAATAAGTTTGCATTCAGCTGTTCAAGTAGTTTTACAGTATTTTTCGGGTTTGCGGAGTTGCGACTATTAAAGATCTTCTCTTCTTATAATTAGGCCTCTTTCACACTAATGCTTTGCGTTTTCGTGCGGAAATAGCATCAAAACATGAGCTTCGTGTCCACTGTACCGCTGATATGCTATGGGAAAAATATTTTCTCTCATAAAAATCCACCGTCTCATCTGCTCTCATTGCAAAAACGCATTAGTGTGGAAGAGACCAAGTCTCAGTGGCTGTCTGATCCATCTTTGGCTAACAATGATCGCTTCAACCCAAAAATTTCTCCGTACAGTATTTAGACTGTTCACAGTCTCTTCTCTCTCGCTCCCTAACCCCTACCCTACTAGCCCCTACCCTATTAGCGGAGCTAGCGCGATCGTGCTAGCCCCGACTAATCCGCCTGCTCTGCAGGCCACCCCTACCCCGTCAAGTGTCCCGTTTTGCGTTGGCGTCTAGCTCACTCGCGATTCTACCTGCGCGTATAACGCACGATCGAATAAAAATACATTTACTGTATATTGGGCGGCTTAGGGTCGGTCCGTATAGTGAAAAACTGTGACCGAGGTCGTGAAATTTCGTGCAAAGATTAAAGATTAACTACAAAAACAATTTCTGTCAGTCGTTGCTATTAAAATCACCTGAAATCAGACTTTTCTAATGTAAATTGAATAGCAGAAAGCGAGGAAAATTCGTTAAGTGTATTCCACAGAAATTCGTTAAGTGTATTCCACAAAAATTTTCTTAAGTACAGCAAAGTGCAGATGCAATTGACCGGACCGCTGGAGCGAGCGCGATTAGCCAATCAGATTCAAGGATTTAGGATTCCGCACCGCTGAGAAGCTGGAGAAAAAAATAAGAGAAAATACCGCGAGGGTTGTGAACTGTCTATACGGTATCAAGATACTGTCAATCAGACAGGTAAGGGGAACAACGAAAATGGTCATTTGAAGGATATGGCTTAAACTAAAGCCGAGCATAACATAATTCTCAGAACTATAATCGAAAACATTGTAGAAAATCTGTAAGGAGAATGGGATATTTCTAACATGAAAAAATACAAGGTTGAACCACACGGAAAGAAAGTAGCCTGCAGTGCGGGCTCGCGCGTTAACATTTTCGTATTGGCCTGCCATCTTGGATGTGGTAACTGTGGAGGGTTGGGGCGAGGGAAAATTTGCCGAGGGGACGGGGAATGGGGAAGAGTGGAAAAAACTGCCTCAACCCCAACCCCCCCTCCCTTCGCACTCTGCCCCAACCCTCTACCGGTCAAGCATCCAATTACAAGCCAGGATGGCGGCGTCGATAACCAGGTCTATCGAGCGTTCCGATCCAAAATAACGCCTGCACTGCAGGCTAGGAAGAAAGTCGAACAAGGAATAAAGAAAATGTTGTTCTAAATGGTCCTAGTTGAGGAACAAGTGTTTTTCTGTTTCAACAAGAGGTTTCCCTGGTAACCATGGTTTCCAGCACCATACACAGTTCACTAAACTTGGGTCTGTCATTTGGCGCGGCCTGCCAACACTTTGTCATTACCTCATAGCTGTTGATAAAGAACAAAACTATATCAAAACCGAAGTAACCAAGTATTTTCCGATGGGTTGTAACTATATAATTTGATTCAAAAAATTCCTGCAACAGCTCAAACCAATAAATTAAGGAAACTTGATGTCATGCAACGAGCGAAGGATGAAGAGTGAAGAGTGGAGAGCAGAGAGCGGAGAGCGGAGAGCGGAGAGCAGAGAGGGGAGAGCGGAGAGCGTAGAGCGTAGAGCGGAGAGCGAAGAGCGACGAACGACGAACGAAGAGAAAAAAATAAAACTCACATGACACTAGAACTCTTCACGGGTTTCTCTATTCTGTATCCGGACTTGAGACTTTGTAAAAGATCTTTAGCCTGAATCTCAGGATATGGAACATCTCCTGAAACATAACAAGTACCGCTTATAGGTCATAAAAAATGAAATTCAGTACAACCTGAGTGATCTCGATGCATAGCCTCTCACGTGAACTTGAAATAACTAAATAAATTCAACATTTTTATCGAGGCAAGTGCCTCGGTTCGCCTGCTACGGCCCTGGCACAAAACAACCAATCCCAGGCGTGATAGACATGGCATGGACCTCTGGGGAACTACGTAATCAGAATCTTTCGTGTAGACCCTGGCAGAGGATGAAATTGAACTGAATGGTGGGAAACCTACTGTATTATGACCCAGGCCATTGAAGAGGCCCTATTACGGGGGGGGGGGNTGAGTATTCCACATACTGATAATTTTTACCCTAAATGTCCCAAGTCCCGTTAAGTGTCCACTTCCAAAAATGAACGATTTACCTACTCTATATCCCGTTTTATCTGATCTAGATATCACATATCCCATTCATTTTCCCTCCGAGTATCTCGCATCTCGTTAATTTTGTGCCTTTATATCCTGTAAAATCAGAAGTTTAAAAACTGACCACAGTTTTAGTATATAAATAGTCGTCACTGACAGAGAAAATCGTTTCAACTTACCTCCAGTTTCTATCTCCCACAGCAGAATACCAAAAGACCAACTACGATGAAACAACAAGCAACTTTTAGATGACCAGATTTGGTACTGTTTCCGCGAGCTTTTAGGCGAGTGTGTGTACCAAGAAAATACAAGCGACAAGTGGGATATATAAACAGTAGCCTGCATTTGGCGCGGAACTATGCTCGGATATTTTCCCCGGACGTTATCTGTTCCGAGAAGTGAAGTGTTTTCCGAGAGAGAAGCTCGAGGAAAACTGTGAGCTTTGAGGAACAGATAATGTCCAAGGTCAAATATGCGAGCATATTTTCGCGCCAAATGGAGGCTATTGTGTTTATTATTCTTCAAATACTTTTTGCAACACGCGCGGTTTTGAAAATTGGGGAATATATATATCTTATTAGATGTTTTGGTGTGTAGTATCGCTGTATATTTTTACGAGTTGTGCCGTATTTTGACGGGTCCGTAGGGCTCGTCAAAATACGAACAACGACTAAAAATGTAAAGCGATACTACACACCAAAACATCTAATAAGAGATTTATTATCCAACTGCTGTAGTCAATAAATTTATCAATGAAAGAGGGAGAGTGTGACAGTTTTCGTGCGCGCGCCGACCTGTACGGCAAACAGGTCTGCTACTGTACAAATACGGCAAACAGGTTTTCTACTGTACAATATCGCTGTGTGTTTGTACTGCTATTTGGACAGTATTCGTTGCAGCTGGATAATAACGTCGGATATTCCCCAGTTTTGGCTGGGGAATATTAGGTTACGGACGCGTTTAGACCAATTGCGCGCGAGCGAAAATATTTGACGGATTATAACGCTTGGTATACCACGAGAAAGTGTTGCATAACTATTTTATACCATGCCATAAACAATACCGGGGCCAATGAAGCAACACAATTAATGCAGCCTACTATGGTAAACTACCTGATAATTTTACAAATCTACTACCACTGCGAGGTCTCAGCACTTACATATCGCTCTCAGAAGAGAAATTCATTGATTCTAAACTCTCTGGAGCCATCCACTTTACCACTGGCAACTTTCCCTTAAAAAAAAAGCACAAACAAAATCTGAATACGCGTTTTTAAGAAAAGACTCACTGAATCTTAGGCGAGTAGAATAGATAGATAAAACAATGTACAACGATGTTAAAGACTAAGAATGAGTATTCACTGTTGAAGCTACTATTTGTTACCAGATTATTTCTAGATTTTTTTTCAAACTTACGGCTGAGATATCTTCATAAGTGACACGCGAGCAGCCTATGTTGGTAACCTTGGCAACACTTTTGTTACCAAGCCGTATGTTCCGTGCAGCAACGTCCTTGTGAATGCACTGAGAGGAAGGAAAAAACAGTTTTTACCGGGTTGATGTTTTGTGTACAGACATTTCAGGAAACGTTGTTCGAGAGAAGTCTAGTCTGGTAAGCTTGACAGCCGATACAGGTTGTTCGCAGCGTCCCGAGGCCCCAATAATTAATAGGGAGTTTAGGTAACGACGACGGCGACGCCGAGGACAACGTCGATTAAAAAAATGAATTTATACTTTATTTAGAATCACGTGATACTCGAAAGTCATCTAGTTTGTTTCTCTTTGTCAAAACTATCTCGGAACTGATTACAGAACACAGCGCAAAATTCGAAATATAGATTTTAAAATCTACCCGTCATTGCTCACGCTCTCCAGACAGCGCAGAACGTAGTCATTTCACGATGCTGTTTTGCAGAGGAAGACGAAGAAATGAACCAAGAATCATAACGCACGTGCACAGTCATTGCTCCGCTCATTAAACCGTTTGTTTTGCGACGTTCCCGTTGCCGTCGTGGTTTTCTTAAACTTCCTAATCATAATCATTCCAATGGGACGCAACGAATTGAAAGTCAAAGCATCCATACGAGCATTGCAGACTAAGAAGTAAAAATCAACCCCGTTTTGAGCTTCAGTGTATTATATTAAGCTTGATTCCACTAACCTTCCTTTCTGCTATATGTTTCATTCCTTTGGATACATCTAAAGCGATCCTCAGTTTTTCCACGTTTGATAAGGTGCACACGTTTTGGGTGATGTTGATTCCGTCATTCGACTGGTGTTGTTGTAGATAATCTAATAGATTTCCATGTTCTGCTTCTTCAAATATGAGGTATGTGGGGCCTGGAAAGAGTACACAGATTCAGATAAGTAGCCTGTTACAGTTAACAAATAGAAAACATGTACCTGTTTCTACCGAGTTTTACTGATAAATCTACCAGCGTTCTATCACGAATGCCATTCTCTGATCGGCTACGCTACTCACTATCTGTTCTGTTGTAGATAGTGAGTAGCCTAGTTGTGTACGGTTGCTAACAAAATAGCGGCCACTTCTTTGCGTTTTCGGAGTGTCTGTGAAAAAGATTTTGACAAAAGTTTTGAACGACTAGTAGGTTTATACTAAAACAATTAGCTTATTCGCTCTCGGTTTTTGTCAACTATCACGCGATAGCAATCTCGAGTTCATAATCTAACTGTTTAATAGAAACACGATGTTAAAGCAATCAGCGCCCGTTTTTTCTTTGGGCTATTTTCTAAAGTTTAATAAGAAATTCAGAGTTTCATCAGGTCTGATCGTCCGGGTGCGGTAAGTTCGAAGAAATACTACTTAATCTCAGTGCTTTGAAAACCTGAGCGAAGTTTCTTCGCTAATAATGTGGACATGGCCACGATTCTAACAGTTTTAGCTGCGCGGACAGACGTTTGGAGTAAGATAAGATAAAGATAAGATAAGAACTTTATTAACGTGTCGAAGTCGCTAGCATACAATGTATACTAATTAGTGTTAAGCGTTAAGTAAGGGCAATCAGAGATTAGTAAGAGAGTTTTAGCTGTTTTGTCATAGTGTTGTCAGCGCAAGCTAAGGTGGTAATAGGTATTTGAATTTGAGTTTGGAGAGTAAGCATTGTAAAGATAGATCAGAGGTACAGAAAAAAGTGTCTTAGCAGTGTCATTATCGGAAGTAAAGATCACCTCAGCCATTAATGCAGTGGTTTGAAAGTTAGCAAAAACAACTATAAATATAGAATTGAATAAAACGGGTTCTTTGATCCTGCAGGGAACTTAAGTGGCAACTTTAAATAAAAACGCTCACATGAGCAACAAGTTTTTTCCCATTAAAATAACCTTCACTGGGCGGGAATTATACAGGATATTTTTCAGCGGACGCTACCTGTTCTGAGAAGCAAAGTTTAAGAGAAAACTGTGTGCTTCGCGGAAGAGGAAATGTCGAAGGAAAATATCTGGGCATAGTTTCTCGCCAAATGGGGGATATGTAATCTTGTTTATTATCCGCGAATTATTCTTACAAGACCTTCCCGTGCTCACCTTTAACAGTACAAGCTCCATAGAGGTTAAGTAGGTTTGGATGACTTCCCAGACAGCTTAAGATTTTAAGTTCGGCTAACAAGTCGTTTACATCATCTAATGATCTATTTTCCTCTGTGTAAGACTCTGAAAAAAAAAAAATTGTCAAACAAGTTATGCGATCCGGCACAGGGTAAGCCTTACGATTGAGGTAGGGTGTTTCTATCTGGGTTATGACATCTAAAGTTTAGGATTAAATAGACAAACTGAACAAAAGAAAACAACGCAGGAATTGGCCTCGAATAGTATCCAATTTTTATACAACCAATTCATGGGTTGTGAAACGCCACTCTAAAACGCAATTATTTTGAGCAAAACCATACAATGATGACAGAGACCGGCCACTGTTGATGATAATGATAATGATGATTTGAAATGGGAGTACATTGGGGTCTCAATGCAGCCAAAATTCCTAATGGAAAGGACGCTTTTTCCTTCAAGACCAAAAGCGGCTGGAGTTGAAGACGAGGTCGAACAATAAGCCAATTATTTTTTTTAAGCCGATTATTTTTGTATCCTTCAAATTCAATTTCTTTTGTGTCATTCCCGTAAGCCTCGTAGCAAAGTTAGAATTTTAATACGTAAATCGAAATTGACCTGTTGCGCCCNGGGTTGTGAAACGCCACTCTAAAACGCAATTATTTTGAGCAAAACCATACGATGATGGCAGAGACCGGCCACTGTTGATGATAATGACGACGACGATGATGATGATGATTTGAAATGGGAGTACACTGGGGTCTCAATGCAACCAAACTTCCTAATGCAAAGGACGCTTTTTCCTTCAAGACCAAAAGCGGCTGGAGTTGAAGACGAGGTCGAACAATAAGCCAATCATTTTTTTTAAGCCGATTATTTTTGTATCCTTCAAATTCAATTTCTTTTGTGTCATTCCCGTAAGCCTCGTAGCAAAGTTAGAATTTTAATACGTAAATCGAAATTGACCTGTTGCGCCCAAACTAACGGCGAGTTCCCCCGGCTTTTTCCAGGGTCAAGCACTACCATACATTACTTGCAAAAAATTTTCGGAGGATTATAATTTCGCACAAAAAAGTGCCCGCAAATAAAACCGTCCGAAATTTTTAAGCCTCCGAAATATCTATAGTACAGTATAAAACTTTTCAATAGCGCCAAAGCTCTTAGTTTCCTTTATGGAGCAAACTCTACTGAGTTGAGACATGGCTTGAGATACGTAACGGCTTGATAGAATTATGTGTTATTTTCTCGTCGGTCTATCTGTAAAACCTTGAGGGTGCAGTAAAACTATCATTTTCATTGATATTGTTTCAGTCCGATTCGTGCTTTGATGGCGTAAATTAACTTTAGTTATGTTTCAGCAAAGGTAGTGTCCGAATTTTTGTCCAAAATTTGTCCGAAATGAGTAATAAAGTGTTCGAAATAGAACATCCGAAATGTTTTGCAAGTAATGTATCTGGTTATCAAGACAATATGATCAACACTTACCCTTTGTTGTTTTCACGACACAGTTTGTCATGTTCCCATTCTCCAAACAGAGCTTCCCGTGAAAAGTTGCTCCGACAGTCTCGGTTCCAATCTTCTCTCCTAGTGAAATGCGTTCTCTTGAAATCTCGCACCAGTCTATCTCACTGTTGCCCTCGGAATCTAATTTGACATGGTAAGATGAGTCAGCTCTGTGGAATCCTGGATTGGTTTGCCCGGATTCTGTGGACTAAGAAAACTACGTTGGGATCTGGGAGTCAATTTCACTGAACCAAAAGAGAAAGATAGCTTTTATATAATGAAAAATACAAGCTAAGATCATATACTGTTGATTTTCATTCAGGAGCGATCATAGACGTGTTTGAAAGGTCTTAAGGTGCTACTAAAGGATTTAACGGTTATTTTTCAACTCAGTGCCTAAATCGTTATATAATATAAAGTAACAAAACGTAACAAAACATAAAGTAACGTAAGGTAAGGTAACGTAACATAACAGAAAGCGACTCATTTACGTACGAGGCTGACGTCACTCATGTTCACGAATTCAGTTCTGGAATCATTTCCTCTTCTCTCTTTCCGGTAACACCGGAAGTAGAATGCGATCACCAGGAGCAGAAGTATGACCGCACCGACCACAGGAAGAGCAATTTTCAGGGTCCTGTTCAGCCTTGAATTTGCTGGAATATAACAGAAAAGACGATATGAATGAATTCAATAAATGAAACCGATGTGATATTTGGAATTATTTACGCAACAGACCTACTTCTACAAAACAGGACTAAGATCGTTTGTCTCCGTTGACTCAACTTCGATATTTTTAACTATAAAACCCTGTAGACTATGCTGATTTACGCGCGCCAATTTTTCAAAATCAGACTAGTTTTCCACACGCTTTATCCCCGAAACGAAGTCGGTGACCCCCAATTTTTTTTAGCATTTCTGACACAAGTAACTCATTATCTGACTGCTGTAAAAATTTAAAAAAAATCTATCGACTGGAAAATTTTCGCGCGAACGTCTTTAATTTCATACCTTTTTCTCCGGTGGAAGGTGTATTTGTTGAGCTACCTGAGTTATAAAACAACAGAAATTAACTTTATACATGGTCTTTTATCTTTTGGCCTGTAAGCCCTGTCGAATTCCAGAGCTGCAAATTATATTAATCATTACTTAGTTCCACATACAGTGGAACCTTGCTTAAGGTGGTTGCTTACGACTATATTGGGTCAAAATTTTGCCTCATTAGCATATGGTAATTTTAAGACATTTAAGACTGGTTTTCACTAGCGACGCAAGCACAAGCGCAAGCACAAGTGAAAACGAAATTAGACAAAAACACAAGCACAAGCAAAAAGCCATTTTGGAGAACTGTTTAGGCGCGACATAATCTGGATACAGTGTTTTCATTGGCCAAACATAACCACGTGTGGTAAATATCTTTGTGCTTGTGTTACACCTGAGCAGTACTTCGTTTTCACTTGTTGCAGCGCAAACGCAAGCATAAGCGCAAGCACAAGAAAAAGGAAAAATTTTGATCCTTGTTCTTGTGCTTGTCCTTACGCCTGTGTCAAGGCCGTTTTCATGGTGAAATAAGAATATTGTGTTTGCGCTTGTGCTTGCGTCGCTAGTGAAAACCAGGCTTTAGCGTCGTCTCTTGAGTGATAGGGTACAGTGTACGTGTATTTTTTCTTTAATTTTTTCAGTGTTTTATTCATGTGAAAAGTCAATTTCGAGAAAAAATACGGTACTACCCAGGAATGCAATAATGTTTATACAACGCCCTATTATCCAATTCTCGTTCTATTATCTGTCAAGTGGTCGCTTACGGGAGGTTAAAAACAATAGAAAATTTCAAACTTTTAGCGCTTACGAGATGTGGTCGCTTACAAGAGGTTCCAAATATAGTGATTTGACTTGGAAACTTTTGGTATTTTGGAGGACTGGTCGGTTACGAAAGGAGGTCGCAACCTTAGGTTCCACTGTACTGACAAATAAATAAGTACATAAAGCGTCGCCATGTACGCGTCGACATGTGCACGGAAAACTGAAAACATGCATGCTACCAGCTTAAATTGGTCGGCAACAAGGTCCATGTGGTTTACTGCTCTGAAAACTAATAGCTATTTAGACTGTTCACAGCTCTCTATTTTCTCTTATTTTCATTAGATCGTTGAACGCGCGGATGGAATCACGAAAGAATAGTCTTCTCAACTCTTCATTTCGCTCGCTTCTCTCGCCTCCCCACCCCCACCCCCTTGTTGCTCGCGTTCGCTTCCCTCGCTTTTTTTTTTCGCCTACGTCGAAATATAGAGGGGATGTGAACGGTCTAATAGCTGTTGACACTGCAAAAAGAACTTAATTGTATGATTGTATAATTAGAATTTTATTACAAACTTCTGTGATTCGATAAAGGCATGTCAAGCTCACAAGTGTGCGACTTCCTTCGCGGGTGGACGACACACGAAAGTTATATTTGTGTAAGAGTTACTACAACAAAAACCTACGGCTTCCAGCCAGTCATAGCGTGTATCTTTCAAGGATATTTTCTCTTAAACAGATTCGGTTGTTTGCCCCTTGCATCTTGTTCTGTTTACGGCAGACTATATTTTTGCGTGTGATTATTAGCACAGCGTTTTATTTAAGGACAATAGAAATTCCCTCATAGGGACGACCATAAGGTGGCCGGGACCGCTTAATAGAGGTTGGTTTTATTTGCAGTTTATAACTGACAGTAATTTCGGGACTTAACTGGGGGTTGGCCGCTTAAAAGAGGTTCAACTGTATTTACTTACTTGAGTGATCAACCTTACAAACCACGCCAGCATCATTATCATGGTCCCAGTAGATACCCGCTATCCTAGGCCAAGAGCATTTCCATAACGAGTCTTCATGTCCCTCGCAATCCAGGTCTGACATCCAAACAGGACCCTCCCCTTTTCCAAAGGGTCCCACGGTGGACAATATGGCCGCCTCGGCTCCAGGGTAACCGAGCTGCCTGCAGGCCACATTTGAGGCGTTCATACCCCAGCCCCTATTCCGGATTGTGCCCCAGATTCCAGCGATGTTAACTTCAACACGGCCAGCATTACTGACATTGCCTCCAGCGAGCCTGATTTTCGTGACTATTACAAGAAAGAATCAACCAATATGAAAAGTTTAGTATAATGCGAATGCTTATCACATTTAATTCAAATGCCGTACAAACCTGATATCGGTTAACTAATAACATTCTCTCCATAAAAGTTTCTGGACAGTTTATCTTTTATATTTAAGTCTAGTCGACAACACTTTCGGAAGGGACGGTGGTATGATCGTTAGCGCGCTCTCCGTTAAGAGCGGTCAGGCTTTGAGCTCTGGCCGTGTGTTCTTAGGCAACTCACTTTTCTCCCAAAGAGCCTCTCTCTCCATTAACATCCAATCCAGAGGGGGGTGGGGAAAAAAAAGAAAATTACTCTTAGTCGCTTAAGGCTCCTGACACCGGGCTAAGCTCCGGACGTATGGACCATTAGCCCCGACACAGACTCTACCTTACGAGGATGCTTTACCTGTCTTATCTGACGTACAGACTACACCAGCTTCAAACGCTCGTCCTGGTGTAAAGACCAAGTCAAGCGGACATTCAATCAGCAAAGATTCATTTCCCAGACACCGCACATTCTCTACCCATTGCAAATTCAGCGCACGTGCTGACCACGAGGAGTTTAAAATGAAAGTCGCCCCGCGAAGGGCAAGTTCGGCGCCGGAAAAATCCAGTTGTTTACAAGCCACGTGAGCATCTGTAAGTTGCCAAGTGAATCTGTCAATCGCGCCCCATTTTCCCGCCAAAAGTACTTCCACTCGACCAGCATACGGGACCAGTGCACCCTTCAGACGAATTTGGAGATCTGAAAGAGAAAAAGTTGCGTTTTATGACTTCGCATTATGTCCATTACCATGAACCCAAGTATTGGTATTAGAATTTTAGAAGCCCGAAGACCTACGGAAGAAGTGCTAATTTTTTATCAGCTAACAAATCTGGAAAGTAACTGCTGTCCAAAATTGTACGTAACGAACACAAACCAACCTCAACAAGACTCGTGTTGTGGGAGACAGTGGAATTGACGCATACGACATTAAAATGATTAGATGTTTCTTCACGTTATTCTCAGTCTGAGGTTATATGTATGTTACTTAGTTTTAAAGAAAAGTAAAAGTAGCGATAGCAAACAGCTGCTAAATCCAAAGAAAAGAGAGCTTTTACTTTCGGAACGCGAAGTTAGTTTTGTTTCTTGTTTGTAATAAGTAATGGTTGATTTTTGACATCTTTTTGACAACTTTCAATTGGCTTCTCTTTGTACAGGTCAATCAAATCGCACGAACTATGAGAGACAGAGCTGTGAACTCCTTCTGACTAGCTGCTTGATTGAGAGACAAGTCACAAGTGATCAAAAAGGTGTCAAGATATTGTCAAAAAATTAATTTTAAAAAGATATTGCGCAGCTAGCGCTATGATCAATGTACCGGTAACTAAACAAACAAGCAAATTAAACAAATAAATAAATAGATAGGTGTAACTAAATAAATTATCAACAGGACTCGCTTCAACTAATTAAGGTGATTACTCAGAAATAAAAGTTGCTGAACGATTTTTTCGAAACTTTCCCTCAATGTTCCTTACCAAGCACTGTTTCGAAAAATACAATAAATTAGATAGGTCACCATTCTCGCAAAAGGGATATGAAGAGCCAAAGTTACATCATTTATGTCAAATCGCGTTGGTTAATTACGTTTTGCGTAAGCTGGAAGCAAAGTATTTTTTTAAGAAATACTTGAAAAAACTAGATAGGAAGGAAGTCTCGAGCATAGTGCAACAATGTAATATATAGTTTATGGCAAAAAAAATACACCATTTTACAGTACCTCGACTCAAAACGTTCCTCGAGTCGTTGTTTCGAGGGTCATAATATCAGTCCTAGAGTAATGATTTTATGCACGCTTTAAGCTATATCTTTTTTTCCTTCCGAACGCTTTTTAAAAAAAACTTTTAACTTAAAGATAATGATTTGCACAGGAAAATCATGCAATAAAAAAATCTAGGTTACCATGCTTGTTTAAGGTAATTCCTCTGAAATAAAAGTGACAATAGAATTTTGTTCAAACTTTGTCCACTGAATATTTGTCATATGATAACTTCAGTTTTGAAATAAAAAAAGGGGGGGTGCCCATGCTCATTAAGGAGCAGTGAGGCATTGAAAATGCCCCATTT